CGAAACCTGCTCTGGCCACAAGCCAATCAAAAAACCCGCCTAAAGGTAAGGTTAATGCGCGTGCCTTCAGCTTTTGCACGCTTGGGCACAGAGTGAATCCAATCTCTTTGGGTATGGCCTCTCATCACCAAAAGTGAACCATGCTTAAGTCTAAACGTATGCTGATTAGCGTCATGGCTACCCTTCTTTAATCTCTTGCTGGCAGGTTCATCACTTCCATCTGAAGATCCACAACAAATGATAACAAGTTCATGCACACTCACATAAGGGTCTACTACTAGTGTAGTAACATGCACAAGAAAAAAGACAGAGATGGTATAACTCTAACGACAAAAGAACTCATACCACCAGATTTTTTACATGGCTTCTTCTTCAGAACAAAGTCACGTTCACATCCAAAAGTTAGAGACGCAATTTCAGGTGTTGGTCCATAAAGCTTCTCATCATCAGAATGCCAACCAACATAGTCATTACCACCATTGTACCTATTTAAGAGTAAGCTATTAAAACTACTCCCAGGAAGAGCGTTATGGACCTTCAGAAGTAATAGAAAGAAATATTAAGTAACACAACAAACACGAGCCAGATAGAGCATAAGTCAAATATATTGTCATTAATAGCAGAATAGAAAAGGAACAATGTTGATTGAGAAACATTCTTACAGCCTCCAACATGTCTTTAAGTGGTGGATAATCATCCCAGGAATATGCACGCGGCTGATACCCGCTGTAAGTCAACTCAGTCAAACCTGGAGTTGCAACATAACATGTCTCTCGAGGCTGTAGAATTACATGGCATTAGGATATTGTGGTTAATCTATCTATCATGTCCATACACAAGAGAGTAATCTCTACTTTATAATTGGTTTTTTGTCATGACTCAAGCACAAGTGAGAACCCAACCCAAAAAACTAGTTCATCCCAACATCTTAGGTCAAGGTTGTACCACATCAAATAGTTCATCCTACTCAATACGAGACTCCTAACATCTTTTGTCAAAATTGTGTGGTTATTATTCTCTTCACTCTTCGGTTACAAGGATATGTATGAGGAAATTCATTGGTTGAAATAATTTTTATTTCCCACATTAACATTGAGATTGAAGCCAAATACTAAGTACTACATGATTAGGGAACTTGAAATTGCAGTTGGTAACATTTCTTTTGTAAAACGGTTTGTCTAACAAGATTGAGTGTGTTTGGATGGATGTTTGTAATTGCCTAAAATTCATTTTGGAGTAAAGGCATTTATTTTGATGATTATACTTTGAAATCAGTAGACTTAGTGTAAGCTTCTTCAGTTCAATGCAATAACTGCTTGTTATCACTTCTAACGAACCCGACATTTGGAGACAGAAACAATTTTTACCCGAAACAATAAGACACACTTTCTAAGATCGTCTCTGGTAAGAAGCAAAAATGATTTGATGCTTTCCACCTCGAAATCATAGGTTCTACTTATATTAAAGGTTTAGTTACCCATGTGATCTTATAGTTACAAAAACTTCCCATTTTAGTTATTGCATTTGAAAAACTTTCGATTTTAGACCTTTAGGCACTTGATTTCTTTTAATCTCGACGGTGTCACTAAAAAGGGATTAAAATGATACGAGTAGAAATTAAAGGGGATGTGATGTTGTCATTAACAGGGTTTAAAAGGAAAAAATTTTGAAACTTATAATACGAAATCAGAAAATCAAACCTATCTAAATGAACATTTATCACTCTAACTGCCTAAGAACAGGGGCATATTTTCAAACTAGATTGATAGTTAATAGCTTCATTTTTCATTCTAAGAACACCAAAAGATGATATTTTTGTGGAATCCGACGTTCCAGTATGGGTAGAATTTGAAAGAAATGGGGGAATGATATGAACCTGAAGGAAGGATTTTCCGAAGACGCGAATGTTGGGTCTGGTCCATGGAATGTGTTTGTCGAGATACTGGAACCATTTCCATGACTGATCGGAGGGTATTAGCCTCTGAATGTATACGACGTCGCTTCCATTTCCGAGATCCACCGTTTCCCTTTTCACATTCTCCTTAGGGTTCTCGTTCGGCACCGCCTTCAGCTTCAACACATTCATCGGTGATGGAAAACTGTTCATAGCCTCTTCACATTCTAATTGATAGAATAGAAATGCAAACTGTGATGCTAAATTGCGTATTTATACTTTTGTAGGATGAGATAGTTATGGGCTCTTCTCTTCTTATTATTTTAACGTAATTTTAAACACGTTTTTATTTATTATTTTTAAATTAATTTTAAAAATTATCCTAAGTATAATACTCAAATAATAGTTATAAAGTAATACCTTTTCATTATTAATCTATATTTTCATAATTTATAAACATTAGTCTAAAAATATATTTTGAGTATATTAAGTTTTTTTCTGTATATATGTTTTTTTTATCCTTTTAAAGATATAGTAAATCAAACACTAGTTTATAATTATACATTGTTATGCAGTTTTAATTTTATAACATTAGGAGCATACTCCTTAATGGATTTTTTACTTTCAAAATATGTAAGCAACAATTTCACAGAATGAGAATATGCATAAGTATAGTGTTTTTTTGGAAGAACTAAAATTGCAAAAGGCGTTTGCAGTATTTATAAATCCTATTTTTATAACAAAAACTAGTTGAAATAAAAGCAAAAAAACAAAGATCACAACTATTATTATGCAACTAAAAAATACAGATTGATAATATTATGTCTTAGTTAACCAATAATGAAACTTTGTAAGCGAAACCTTTTTGTTTTGGCTCAGCAAGTCTCCATGTTGATTCTTTATTCTTGAAACAGTGCTTCACAGTCATCTGAGTATTCTTATGGATTGAAAAAAATGAAATCTGACCCCAGAAAACTCATCACTGTCTGTAGTGTTACTGCTAATGGGATTCACTGCTAAATTATGGTCGAGTAATTATAGTTTGACAGTGGTGTTACATTATTAAAGTAGAGCAATTCCGTTGATTATTGAATAGTTTATTATGACATGTATAAAGTGGATATAGAAACTAGTAAGCAGAACAACTTCTCTTTTCTTAACTCAACTGAAAAACAATACAATACCATCAAAACTTACGGAATACCCAATGAATGATCATTGCTAAAATAAGGGCTAGTTTCTACTTTTCGGGGGAGGGTATGTAATACATGGTAACAAACTTAGCACACCATAAAGCAGAAGCCATAAATCACCACAAGTTTATTTGAAAATGCAGCTTCTGGAGGCTTTTATCTATCAATGACATTTTTTTTTTTCATTTTTTGGGTAGAAATTCATCTATGCAGAAGTTAATCAAAAGCATGACTCAACTACACATAAAATGTTACAATTGTGATCTGGTTAGAGATTTTCACTTGGGACAATTGCAAATTCTGCACTATGTTTTAGGAGTAATAGGTGTGGCCAGCTTGATGATCAATTCTAGTTCCCCAGACTCTACTCCACGAAGCCTTAACCAAACATTCTGCACCACCTCACCATTAACACAATTGATACTGCTTTCACGGACAAGACAGTTTTCAGTATCAGGTATGACCTTCCTTAAGGTTGTCTCACCAGAGGACACTCGTAAGATATCTCTTAATCTCGCTGCAGACACTAATGGTTGAAGGTTGAGGAAAGCATTTCCCATCTTGTCATCAGCCTTTAACAGATCTTTATCAAACACTTCCTATAAAAAAAGGGAAAAAGCAAATCAGTTGTACAATTACAAAAGCTAATAAACAGTGCCCTGTATTCAAATATGATAAAATATGTCTTAGATTCTTATCTTTGGTCAAAATTTATTTTAGAGATGATCTTGGTTCTCATGATGTCAACCCTTAATCCTTAATATGTAACATTATACCAGAACAAGGAACAAAATTTGCCAATAGAATGACAGAACCAAAATCTTTTTTTATAAAGTATAGAACTAAAGCTATATTTAGCCAAAATCTAAAGGACCTAAACCAAAATTTACTTTGTAAAATTACCAGAACAAATCACCAATCTATTTCACAAACACTGAGTAGGGAGAGTATCTTCCTTGCAAAATAGACTACAAACTAGAGATTGAAGAAAAGAAGAATGAAGTGGTACACTCAAATATTATGGAACTTACCAAATTCAGCACTCCCAAGGGTTCTGTAAGAGTGAAATTAAGCTCTTCATTCCAAACAGGATTCAAGCAGCTGTTGATTACCTTGGTCTTTGCAGTCTGGTTTAGTGTGGTAACATTTTGGGGTTAAATATGCTACATAATTTAATGTTAACAGAAATAAGCTAAAATGAATTTGACATATCAATCCTATTTACCTGGTTCCCTAGTTTCAGCACAACATAAGGATCACTGGTCTTGAAATCCCGGATCACCAACCTTTTCCCTTGCACAACAATGACTTTTAGCAGCCCCAATTGTTCACTCATCATTTATACTCCTGCAAACAAGTTAAAACAGTAATCAAACAAGGTCCAAACCAAAGTACAAAGTACGAAGTTGCAATACTCACCATTCATTTAAGACACAAAAACAAGAAAATGGTGGAAAATACTTCCCTTTTACAAAGAATTGCAACTTATTTACAAAGAATTGCAACTTATCAACCCCAAGGCAAAAATTAAAAACATGTTACTCTCATTTTTCTTTTAACCCAAATAGCAAGAAGGAAAAAGATAGAAGGAAAAGTTAAAAATATGGAAGTCTGAATTTTCTTTTCCCTTTCTGTAAGTAAGGTTTTTGCTGCAAAATTACCAGTAAAAGAAATCCAACGTAAGCATAATGAGAAATGAACCCAACCCAACAGAAGAATAGAATAAACCAAGTTGAAGAAGGGTGCTTTGTGGATAGAAAAATAGTTACTTTACTTCCTTTTTCTGGAAGAAAGATACTTTTTCTTACCTACCCATATCAAAAGTCGAGCTTTTTCAAGAAACTAAATATTCAAAATTTGCTGAGGTATTAACAAAAGCATTTTGAGAGCAGAGAAGGGGAAGTACCGACAACAAAAAGCAACAGATCATTGAACCGAAAGAGAGAAAGCAAGCGAGGAATGAAGGATGAATTCCTCAGCAAATCCTCATTAAACAAAAGAAAGAATCATAGGAGAAGGATCCCGATCCCAAAGCCAAGTGAAGTGTGTTTGGCATTTGGCTCACTGATCCAACTTACACTAAAGAAAAAAAGAAAAATGAAAAGGATGTATCCCTTTGGGAAGTCAATAGGCAGAAAACAAAAGAAAGAAAGACATGAAGGATGTTGGAACTTACCAGTGGATAAGTGTATGTGAATGTGTGTGCGTGAGGTGGTTTGGGAAGTGTGTTAATATATTATTTGTGCGTTGTGTTGCTGTGATTTGTGAATGAGCAAAAAGGAGAAGACGATGAGACTTAAAGACAGTAGAACAACCTCTTCACCGGTAGCTACAGGTGGGTTAATGAGAAGGCTATCTGAAGACAGGAAAATGTGAGAATCACACCTGTCGGTCAAATGATATGATTATGCATTATTAAAAGATCCACTGTGTTGGCCGCAGGATTGACCAGGCCTGGTCTTCTTCTAATATCCCACGTTGAAACTTTGGTAGATTTAAGAATTCTTTTAGCTTTTATGTTTTCTACTGACATATTTTTGGAGACAAAAGTACAAAAGTTATTTTAAAATTTGAATTAAACCTACAAATCTTATGATGTATTTAAAAATTTTAAATTTAAAGAGTGATATAACAATACAACACAGTTTCTCATTTTTTTAGTTTTATTTATTATCATGAAAGTGTACTGTAGAAGTGCGTGCGCGTTTGTGACTTGGTTCAGTGCTAACTTTGACCACGCTCTCTTATTTTCTTTCTTTACGTTACTCACTCGGACACTCTCAGCCGCGTGCGCCACAAAGCTTGCTTTTCCCACGGTTCATTCATACTCTTCTCGCCCATTGCCACCGTCACTATTAAACAAATCAAATCATAAATTACGAAACGTATCACGCATACCCCCACCCTGTATTCTTCTGTGAGAATTTCAACCATTTTTCTTACTTGGTGTTTACCATGTAACCTTAACCGAGTAGTTTTTTTAATAACATCAGTAGAAGGGTTATGAAAAGGGATGCGATAGTTAGTGGATTCTAAGTTTTTTTTTTAATCATAGTGGGTTCTAAGTTAAATTATGTAATAATCTTATATATGAAAGAATTTTACACTGGGTATTATTATTAAGTAATTGGACATTTCTATAATAAATATTGTATCGTATGAAATATGGACCGAGTTGGTTATTGAATAAAGCCGACCGATCTATCCGCAATTGGGCCAACGTTTAAGCTATTATTGGGCTAGTGGTCCAATAGATAATAAAATAATGAAGAATATCTGATTGAAGATATGATGAAAATAAGCAGTTAAGATACTAATAATTGGTAAATCTGTTTATGTTTTATTCTGTTTATATTTTATTGGGCTTATGTTAGCTTAAAGTCCATGAGACAACTTATAAATATAGAGCCAGAACCACAAACAGGTACGTTTTCACTTAAATATTATACACTCTCCCCTACTCTCCAACTATTCAAACAGTATCAATCAAGCACTGATTGTCTTATTAAGAGTAAATAGCAGGTACATCTTACAAGAGAGAGAGTGTATAATACTTAAGTATTATTAGTATCTTTAAATAAAGAATTAAAATATATTGCTTAAAAGTTAGTTGAAACCAGTCCAAAACTATCTATTATTTTTTTTTTCAAAAAGTGACAAGTTTTTATGTACAAGTAAAATCACACTTCTCACTCGAAATATTATCATGCCAAAGATGAAAATAACATAAATCACTCATAGCCACGAGATAATTTACTTACGTAAAAGGGTACCTAGATTTAATAAATAGTGAGGAATAAACATGTATAGGGAAAAAAAATTAATGCCCTTCCAAGAAAATGTACGGAAATATAATTTTCACGAAATGTTATTCCAATGGTAATTATCTTATTTTGAGATATACATTTTTACTTACCTTTCTTGCAAGTGTTGATGGAAAATATATGATTAAAGGCATATTGACAAACAAAACAGACACATACATTGCATCATAAGCCAAAATACCAAGTTAAGTCGGGGAGGGTGTGAA